ATTCAACTATACCACTCCTGGGCATATACCCAAAAGATGCCCCACTATACCACAGGGACACTTGCTCAATTATGTTCATAGCAGCTTTATTCATAATAGCCAGAAACTAGAAACCACCTAGATGCCCCTCAACTGAGAAATGGATGAAAAAAAAAGTGATTATTTACACAATGGAATACTATTCAGCTATTAAAAACAAAGACATCATGAAATTTTCAGGCAAACGGGTGGAGCTAGAAAATGTCATCCTGAGTGAACTAACCCAGACCCAGAAAGACACGTGTGGTATATACTCACTTATAAGTAGATATTAGCCACAAAGTAAAGGACATCCATGCTACAATCCTCAGATCCAAAGAAACTATGTAATAAGGTGGGCCCAAGGAGGATGCTTGAATCTCACTCAGAAATAGAATGAAATAGACATTGGAGGTGGATGGAGAGGGAACTGGGTAGGAGAGGGAGTGAGGATAGGGACGGAGATCAGGTGTGGGGAGAGGGGGGTGGGGAATTGGTGGGATGGCATGCTAGCAACTTGTAACTGGAATCCAGCATTTCATTCTACGTTTAATATGGAAGCTCACATTTTTTTTTTAAAGGTGTCAGAAGTTTGTTTGACTGGTTGGCTGAAGCATTTGTCAAAAGATGACGCACTGAAAAGGAGCCAGAGAGGCCTGAGAGTCCTCGAGTTAGGGTTGATGAAAAAAGTCCTCGCCTTAGGTTGATGTAGAAAGTTAAGGCTCACGGAAATCACCATGCTACAATGCAGTAGGATCTCTGTGTAAACCTCCACAGTGGGAAGGCCCACAAAGCATGCTCTTCACTAATCCTAGAAGAGAGGCAGAAGCGCAGTTGAAGAAACAAATAACCTATGCATACCGAAGATGAGTCAAATCAGCAGCTTGGTCTGGTTAGGAGGTGGGTGCAGGGACTTGGAAAGGGTCCATTTATGCCACACCTGGAGATTTTGGCACCAGATGTATAAACTGACCACATGACATGCTCCATGATAAGGTTAAGGGGAAGGTTTTTATTGTAGATAGGAGAGAAAGAACAGCCAGAGGCATCTGGAATGGTCCAGAGCAGAGAAAGAAAACAGTGGCTGAACATGGTCATGAGAGAAGCAGAGTAGACAGGGTGGGGGTGGGAGGAGAGGAAGACAAAGAAAGCAGGGGGTAAGGGGGTCGGGGTGAGACAGAGAAGGGGGAGAGGGAGAGGGGAAAGAAAGGAGGAGAGGAGAGGACAGGAAAAGAAAGGAGAGGAGAGGGGAAGGGGAGGGGAGGCAAAGTATCAGGGTTATAAGGAGAACGTGAAGATGGGGTGGAGGTGTTTATGAGCTGGAGAAGTTTAGGGAAGGATGTAAGGAGCTGAGGATGGACTCTGAAACGTTAAACAGGTATTTATGAATCTGATGGATTCCAGCAAGCGCTTTGGTATGTTACCACAGATAGCCATTTGTCCCTTTTGCCTATGATACTGGAAACGGCTCTGAAACGTTAAACAGGTATTTATGAATCTGATGGATTCCAGCAAGCGCTTTGGTATGTTACCACAGATAGCCATTTGTCCCTTTTGCCTATGATACTGGAAACGGCTCCTTTTGATAGAAGGAAACCAGTATCACAAGCTTCTGAGGAGCTAGCTTTTGTCTAGCCATCAGAATTTGGAGAAAGGGAGTTTCCTTTGGACCTGACACACACCACCATGTCCTGTGATTAAAGTCAATGGGAAACTACAACCTCATGCTGGCAGGATGGCAAAGGGCACAGGCCCTTTAAGAACAGAGGCACAGGTTACTCTTTCAGGAAAAGAGCTAAGACTTCCTGAGGTGATTGCCAAGGGTGGAAGAAATACATAATAAGTAGAAGAGGAAGTTAGTTATAAATAACAGTTAAGACCACTGATCAGTTGCAGAAATGAGGATTGGCATGAGAGTTTCTGACACATGTTGTTAAGAATGGGCTTATATCGTTCCTTGTGTTCTCTTTCCTAGACTGATCATGTAACATCCATTGAGAGGATATCAGTGAGACTGAGGAGATACCTAAGTGGTTAAGAGCACTGGGGGTTCTCCCAGAGGTCCCAAGCTCAATTCCTAGTAATCACTTGGTGGCTTATAACAATCTGTAATGGGATCTGATGACATCTCATGGTGTGTCTGAAGACAGTGACAGTCTGAAGATGAGCTACAGTGTATAACATATACATAAAAATTTTTTTTAAAAAAGGTATCATTGGTTAGCATATTTGAGATACTAAAAGAATGTCTCTCAAGGGAAATTGCCACCTATTTTAAATCCATAATGTGCTTGGATTTGTATGAGGGATAGTTATATCATGTTTGTCATAATTATGACTAAACATATCTGTTTGCAATTATGCATGGGATAGTTCTACCATGTTAGGTGTAATTATACCCAGTTATTGTTTTCATTTGTAAGTTAAGCATGACATACGGAAATATGACTGTGTCAAGTGGACAAGGTTTGGGCTTGGGATAGCTATTCTTTGTTATCAGTTTGACTATATCTGTAATTAAAACATAAAACTGAGTAGGCACACCTGTGGGAGATTTTTTTCTTAATTAAAAAAAATTGTAGTGTGAAGACTCACTTCTAATCTAAATCTTTGAGGTAGGAAGATCCATCTTTAATCCAGATCGCTGAGGTGGGAAGAGCTATCTTTACTCTGGACCACGCCTTCTGCTGGCACACAATACAAAGGACATGAAAGAAGGGAACTTGCTCTCTTTGTCTGCTTGTTCTTGCTCTCACTAGCAAGTTCACACCCCTTCACTGGCATTACAGCCTATATTCATTCATTCATTCATTCATTCATTCATTCATTCCTCCATCCATTCATTCATAACTTCTGTTCCTCTAGAGAGCCCTCTAATACAAGGCTACATCTCAGATCATTAAGACATTTTACCTCAACTATAGTTTTTAATCCTTTGAGAAACTTAACTTGCAGGAGCATGAATATGAGGCACTCCCTACAGTGAATTCCAGGTTCACAAGCCTGTTCTAGCCTCATGCCTGGACTTGGGCAGAACCTGTGATTTACTTCAAGCCAGCCAGAGAGGGTAACTGCATCAAGAAGCCGTTCCTGTGTGTAAGTACATCACATGCCACACAGCTCCAGGTGGGAGGGATATGCTGACTAAGGAAGGGGACTTTAAGGGGAGCCCTAGGACCTGGAGAAATGTCAACAAACACAAAGAACTCACCAGGTGACAGCCAGTAGGAAGCAGGAGCTTCAGTCAGCAATAACATTGCCAACAAGCAGGCATCCCTGGAAGATATGTCCAAGCTCCAGCGAAGAGCACAGTCCTCCCTGTCGTGACCCTCAGCATGCACAGTCAAGTCATGCTCAACTGTCTATGAGGTAAATAGATCTTGATTTGTCCGAGATAAACTTGGCCATTGGTTACTGTGTACGAGAAGATGCTTTCCTAAGAATAAGTGTTTCTACCTGAGTTCAATTGTTTCCCTTCCAGTACAGAAATACATTTCACACTACAGCTATCTTCCCATTTGGCCATTTGCATTTTGGTTTGGGGAATTTCTATTGTGGATTTTTAAGTTCTATGTCAAGGTTTGTTTCTGTTGTTGTTGTTGTTGTTTTGGTTTGTTTGTTGGTTGGTTGGTTTTACACAGACAGGGTTTCTCTGTGTAATACACCTGTCTATCCTGGAACTCAATTTGTAGACCAGGCTGGCCTGAACTCAGAGTTCTGCCTCTGCCTCCCAAGAGCTGGGATAAAAGGTATGCGCCACCACCACCCAGCTCAATGCCAGGTTCTTATCACCATGCCTCCCTGGAGGCTTATTTATTTGGCTCTGACTACAGCAGCCTGCAATTTCTATCAGCAGAGGACCTACCCGCCAGCAGTTTCTTTGTTCACAGTTCATCAGCGCCATTCACTCACTTTCTTTTTTTAAAAAAAAAATACAACTTTTACTCTCAGGTAAATAGACTTAAGTTTCTAGTGAATTTGTGCCCAACGTTGGGCGCCACTTTGTTGAAGTAATTATTTAAAACGGCCACTAGTCAAGCCAACTATCTAAGCAGCAGCGTAGAATCTAAGCTCTGCCTAGCTCAGCCACCATGTTCTGCAGCCATAGGCCACGTGCGCCACAGCTAGAAACGGCCCACCAGAAACACCAGCCCTGCCACCCACGAGATGCCAGCATGGGAGATGGCTCTGCCAATCTGCCACGCTGTATCCGAAAGACTGGGCATTGCCCAGACCATCCCACCGTCCATACAGGCCCAGTAGGAAAAGAAGACTCTAATGCTTAAATATTAATCAAAGGCTTTATATGTTTGGTAAAGCTCAATAACAATATGCCCATACAATTAGAGTTGTTTTTCAATTAGCTAACCTAAATATGAGTTGTTACCCGCGACTGCTCTCCATACCTGTGTGGCTCTTCATCCTCCTACATCCCTGCCCTCTCTAGCTCCTCCTCTTCCTTTTCCTCTTCCTCTCCTTACTCCTCCCACCTTAGCTCCTCCTACACCTCCCTTCTTGATGACATCCTCTGCCCTGTAAAATAGGTGTTAAGGTAGAATGTGCATTCAAAAAAATAACCGCTGCTTGCCTAATGCCATTCTTTAAAGCAGGACAAAGCTCATTCCCAATCTCTATTGAGAGCAACACAATAGAGGAGGAGCTACAATCTCTACTGCCAGCTTGTTCACTCAGCCCCTCCAGTGTTGTGTTAGTAACCTGAAGCAGGGTGGCGTGGGCATATGGGAAACCAATGAGCGGTACTCAAGAAACATTTTGTATGGCTACAGAGATGGCTCAGCAGTTAAGAACACTGGCTGCTCTTTCAGAAGACCTGGTTTCAATTCCCAGCAACCTCATGGTAGTTGGCAACCTCTGTAACTTGAGTTACAGAGAAGCTAACCCCTTTCCTGACCTCTCCTGGAACCAGGCACCCATGTGGTATACTTACACAGATGCCACAAAACAGTCAACAGTCACACATAGAAAAAAAAATGTAATCTTTTTTATTTTTATTAGGAAAGTAAGCATCTTTTTTTTTTTTTAAAGAAAAACAAATTCTTAAAATTTGGTAAGAGGTTTCAAACATATTTTAGTCATGTAGCAATTCATTGTCACTCAGCATAAAACTTGGGGAAAGGTACACAACATTTACCAAAGGCTGGCCCAGACTACATTTACCAAAGGCTAGCCCAGACTACAGTCACCAAAGGCTGGCCTAGACTAGCTCTGTCACACTCGTGAAGTTACACTCCTCATCCCTGACTCCTCGGCCATCCCACCACTGTCTTTCCATCTTAATTTGGTTTCCAGTTACTTCAAACTCAGGGAGTGGTCCTGGAGGGGACATGGGTTCTCTGGTCACCACAAACAGATGGGAGCTCATCTGTAAACCAAACTTGTAGCCTGGTTTACATAATATATGTAATATCCCAACCCAGTGAGGGTCAAATCCTACACCGGCAAGCCGCAGCCCCAGCCTCTGTTAATGAGGCAGGCTGTGGGCATTGGAGGACCCGTCCATACCGCTGCAGCTTACACAGTAACCTTAAAACAGCTTCTATAATTAAAACCTAAGAGCTGGAAGTTAGTTCCAAGGTAGAACACTTAACTAGCAAGTGCAAGGCCCTGTGGTAAGTCAACAGCACTGGACAAAAGTAAAAGCTAAGAAAATAATAGAAAATTAATGTGTCCCCAGATGCTCTCTGAATGACACAGACAGCAGCATATAAAAATAACCTCCTTTTAAACTGTCAGCAAAAGTACTATAATCTCTGAAATGTGATGAACCATTTTACCACTGAACATGAGAGTGACTGGGAAAATGTTTCTGGCTTTTTTAATATGTGGGAAACAAGAATAGAATTTACTAGAATACTAAATGACGACCCTCGAGTGTAAGGGAAAGGGAGTGTTGTAGATCAATGAACATGGCAGTGCTACTAAATACCACGCCTGCCAAACTTCAGGATTGCACAAGCTCCAGCACGTTCACAGGGCTACCCGTCAGTTTCGGTTTACGTATTTGAAACAAATGGGCTATTTTAGCAAAAATATTATACAACTTTAAAACTTACACGTTTCACCATGCATGGTAGCACATGCCTCTATTTACAAAACTCAGGAGGCAGAAGCAGAACGGTGAGTTAGAGGCCAACCTGCCCTACTTAGTAAATTCCAGGCCAGCCTGGACTATAAAGTAAGACTCAAGAAACAAAACAAACACAAATCCTAAAATTTAAAAATAATCTCATTTGCATTTCTAGAATCACAGGAGATCAAACATAAATCCGTTTTTTGTCAGAGCTGAACATGAAGTGAGGGAGGAAGCTAGATCCCTAGAAAGCATAGCCTATGTGTATACTCACAGGAATACATAGTCAGCAGTATTTTTCAGTTCAACCCTACACAGAGGGTAAAAGGAAACTGTCCTTCCATCTCCAAAGATGCTTTGTGACAACCCACTCATCAGGGTGTGGACGCACACTCACTGCTCCACAATCAGCCCGTTCTCCAGAGCCTTGACCCTGCACACCACCCAGATCTTCACTTCTCAATGCCTTCTGTAAGGCAGAGACAACAGAACAGTCTCCTAATGAGAGCCCAGCGCACAAGAACGAACGGTAGTCTACAGAAGACTGAGAGCTCTAAACACTCCAATCATTTCAAACCTGCCTGTAAACAGACACAAATTTCAAGTGCCAAAGCATACTGAAAGCCAGCCAGAGCTCTGCTCTGAGGTGGTGTCCTCAGGAGCGGCGGTCACGCAGTAAGTCATTCGGTAATTCGTCACCTGAGTGTTATTCTCCTTTGTCCTGGTGATTCACAGGAGAACTGTGGCTGCTGGCTGACAAGGGCTCAACACTTAGTGCATCTGGAAGGCCCTGACAGGAGCCCTCAGCTGTGGGCTCTACCAGATCTCTAGATGTCTCCCTTGCAAACTCCGGTACTGGATCACTCATTTCGACCACTTCAAAATCCATCTCATTCCACTTCTCTGCATCCTCCTCCTCATTCTCTTCCTCGAAGTCATGTTGCTCAGAACTGGAGAGCAAAGCTTTCTGGTCCTCGCTCTTCCTTCTTCCTTTGCGCTGGCGTTGCAGGGGTAAAGTGGCTAATTTATACATCACAGGAAATAAAACAGCCGTGAATATGGCTGAGCCCAGACCCGTGTAGAGAACCACTGGGAGATCCGGGTAGTGTCCCTGAAGAATCCCGATGACCGCAGGAATGGCCATTTCTCCCAGGGCAGCGCCAATTACAAAGAATGCTGCAGATTTCCCAGTTAAGGTGGTGTACTGCTCAATCCAGGAGATGCCGCTGGGAAACGTGGCTGCCATTGAAGCTCCATACACAGATGTCGCGATCCAGAGACAGAGAGGGTTTTTATCAAAAAGGACCAGAAATAAAGACGAGGCCAGGCTGCCAATGTTACACAACACAATCATGGTTCCAGGCTGTAAGAATGTCGCAAAGAAGATGGCCAGGCCCCTGCAGGCTGCAAAGGTCCCCCAGAAGATGGAGTTCAAGCCAGCTGCCTCGCTCTCTTCCATGCCAACATGGGTGGTGGCAAAGGAGAATACAAAAGAGCCGTAGGTCACCTCGGCTCCCACATAGAAGAAGAAGAAGAGGAAGAGGAGAGAGAGCAGGGCCCTGTGATATTTAGCCCTTCGAGCTCCCTGAGCAGATGCTGTGGATTTTTCCTGCCTTGAATGTTTCTTACAAAACAGACCAAACAGGAAGACAGAAACTACTAAGACATAGGTGCCAATAGAAGCATATGTCCACAGCAGATTCATGTCATCGGGTACCGCGAACACAGAGTCTGAGGGGGCTTTGGAGGATCGGTTCAGCATTAGAGAGTTAAAGTCGGACTCGGTGTGGTTCTGAGCAGATGCTGTGGTACCCCAGGTCAATTTAGCCAGCAGGGGAGCCAGAAAGGCACCCAAGGCGAAACTGAAGTGCAAGGCCTGCATATGTGGGGCTCCTTTGTCCCCCCAAAGATCCAAGATGAGGACGTTCCCACCTACCAACAAAGGAAATTATTTGAATTAACAATCATTTAGTAAGAACACTACACTGCTATTTAAGAATAAAAAGGAAGCTAACACTACCTAGAACCAATGTGGAAACAGAAGGTTGCATTTAAGGCACTCTGACCCACCACCACGAGCAGACTGTGCATCAAGGCATCACCTCCTAACATACAGAATCTATAGGCTGCTAAACCACTGCCCACTAGAGCCAGGCACATTAGCAATGGCTTTTCATAAAATATGCCAACACAACACTGGGGGACATACTGATATAACACACCTATCTGCTTACAAGGGAAAGAGAGAGAAAGAGAGGTGGATTTTAGCATCAGATAGTGGCCAATCATCAAAGCTTTGTATTTTTGCACCTAGTTGTAACTGTCACGGAAGTCAACACCCAAGGTCCTGATGTACATTACAGCACCAAGCATAGCTGTCAGATTCTGCACCGTCCTGATGAAGACCCTGTGAGGTGACAGCCATTCTTTGGCTCTCATTACTTCCAGATAAACACGCATTTCCACTCTGTAACTTCACAACCAAACAAAGGCTACCGTGTCAAGTATTTCCACACTCTGCCAAATGACATGAGAGGAGGAAAGGGATGGAACACTGAGGTTGGAGGTGAGCAAATGCCACACTACTTCCTGAAGAGGCTCTGCTGGTGGCAAACAGGGACTTCCCAGACAAGGCTTCACTGAGCTCAGTACTCGGCTGGACACTGTCTTCGTCTGCAGCCCACTATGACTCTATACTTGTTCTGTGTTCCCAATCATTATGGCTTCTTACAGGAAGACGGCCAGATTCTATCCTAAAAGGAAAGCCTGCTGCTTGTCTGTCCAGGGAAAGAACATCCTTCATATTCGGATATTCTAAATCTCCTCTTGCTTGTGGAGAAACGTACTTTGTTTACTTCACAGGCAAACACTGGGAAATGGATGTTCTGATTGACAAGGAGTGGTGGCTAGGAGAGTGGCCTGACTAGGTGCCGTGGTCCCAGTCTGACGTTTCTGTGATAGTGTGATGTCATCAGCTGCCCTTTCCCTAACAGTAGTGTCCCGAACAGCACAGGTGACAATAAACAATTCACTAACCTGTATCCAGAATGCCCATTGAAATCCCGAAGACAGACATCATGACAATCAGTAAGGCTGCTGTCTTGCAGAATGGCATGAGATAAAGACCCACTGTGGTAGCAGAAAGGGACACTCCTGAAAAGAAACAGTAAGAACTCAGCTAAAATACAGCTCTGCTCTGGTAACACAGTATTTACTTAATCATCGGCAACAAAATACTCTTGTTTCCATAGAAGTTTTAATACATCAGTTGATTTGCCTTTAATCTTGCCAATGTATTGAAAATGGCATGCTAACAGCTCTGCCCTCTTTTCCAGGGTCAGGATCCAAGGTGATAGTCTGTGCTCAGCTCTGACAAGGGCAACAGGACAGAAGTGCACCCTCTATCACTTCCCTACCATCCCCTGTCCCTTCATCTCCCAGCCCAAGTCCACAGAGCCTGGCCAGGTTCCAGGAACTCATTCTGAGCCCTGTGGCCCAGAAGCCCCGCCCCATCCCATAAGCAGAGCTTCATGGTCAGCCAGCACATGTGCCTGGAGAGGAGTCTAACTCCACGTGGCTCAGGGTTGCCAACACTTACACCCAGGGGCCCATTGAGTTCCCAGGGGGATCAGTACAGACTCCCGCCAGCCCCCAGAGTGGCTGCCAGCACACTGCCCATCCCAGGAATCAGCCATCTCCCATAGTTAGAGCTGACTCGTACATTTGTTGACAGAAACAACGAAGTAAAGAGCAGTGTTTACTCACCCAAAAGTAAAAAATGATTCATACAGCCAAAAAGGACTCCTCCAATCATAGAGCCACAGAGATATCCTGAGGCGCGGCCCACAAAAATCAGAGACAGGCTGCTGATGTTCCTGTTCACGTTCCTTGCCAAGTCTGGAAAGGTGGGCCCCAGGATAGCAACACTCAGTCCCTACAGTCAAAAACAAGACAGCTTTTTACCATTTTTACCATCGCTGGAATGCTGACCAAGAAGTAGCTTTCCCACAGTAATAAAATCACAGGCGGGAGAGGACAGTCTACTATAAGGGGCTGGAGAACTAAGAAAAGACGTACATTGTCAGCAGTAAAGCACAGACTCCCCAGTGGCCTTCTAGTCAGAACCGTTGATACTTTTTAAAAGGTTTTGTTTTGTTTGGAGACTCAAACTTGCTCTGTAGCTCAAGACTGCCTCTGCCTGCCTGCCTGCCTCCGCCTCCCACATGCTGGTACTACCAGTGTGTCTCAGCACACACAACTTATAAAACTATTTTAAACTTTTTAACTGTTTAGCATTAAACAACACCTTAAAAGAGCATTCCATAGTAATAATTAATACGTAACAAGCTTGGAGCTGGGGAGATGGCTCAGTGAAGCACTTGCTGCCTGGAAGTGAGGACCTGAGTCTGGGTCCCCACCAGTCACACAGAAAGGACAGCATCTTAGTTAGGGACTGTCTTGCTACAGTCAAACACCAGGAAAGGCAGCAAGTTAGGGAGGAAAAGGTTTTTCTGACTTACACCTCCACATCAGTCCATCTCTGAAGGAAGTCAGAATAGGACAGGAGACAGGAGCTAAGGACCATGCTTACTGGTGCTGCTTACTGGCTTGCTCCTCACAGCTTGCTCAGCCTGCTTTCTTATAGAACCTAGGACCAACAGCCCAGGGATGGCTCCACCCACAATGGGCTGGGCCATCCCCCATCTATCAGTAATTAAGAAAATGCCTTACAGACAGATCTTGCAGAGGGATTTTCTCAAGTGAGGCTCCCTCCTTTCAATGACTTTAGCATCTCTCAGGTTGACATAAAACTAGCCAGGGCAAGTGACCCCCCATCAAACTGATACACAAACATATCACTGTCAAGCTACCACCCTCCCTGTCTTGTTCATTCGCAGGATCCCACATTAACATCAGCAACACAATATAAAACATTTCACAAACTTTAAAGGTTCCAATCTTTACAATTTCAAACACTTTAAAATCCAGTCTCTCAACTGTGGACTCCTGTAAAATAACAATACTTTTTTACTTCAAGAGGGAAAACCCAGGGCACAGTTACAATCTTAAGAAAAGTAAAACCAAACTCTAAAAGTGTAAATAATTCAATGTCCAACTGTCTGGGTTTCACTCACAATCTTCTGGGCTCCTCCAAAGGGCTTGGGTCACTTTTCTGGTGCTGCCCTCTGTAGCACACAGATTGTCTTTTAGGCTCTGACTGCCTCTACTCCACTTACACCTGCTGATCCTGCATCCCAAGGTGCTGGCATCTCCAAAACGCTGGGGTCCTCTGCTGTAACTGGGCTACACTTTCACCAATAGCTTCTCCTGGGCTCTCTTCATAGACTCCGACCACACAGTGCCAGGCCTCAGCTGCTCTCCATGACTCCTCCCAAATACAGCCCCACCTGGCGACTTACACTATGGTTAGCTGCCAATCGGAGGTACAACCTTGGCTAACTTTTGGGAAACACTTTCCAGGAGACTTCACCTCAGTGATGCTGGCTTCTTAATCAGAACTGCCTCTTCAGGCCCAGTTGGGCAGCGTCTATCACCCCAGCAGAGCAAAGGTTTCTCTTTAGCGGCTCTGGTGTCCTCTTCATCAAAGCCTTCTTCAGCTCCCGCAAACCAAAGGTACAGACTCTTCACTCAAATGGCCTGGGAGTCTTTGCTTTCCTCTGAAACTTCGCAAGCCAGGCCTCCATCCACTGCACCGCTCTTCACAGTCCTTCTTTTTAGATGTATGTATATATATGGGTACTTGGTCTGCATGTACACCTGAACACCACAAGAGGGCGTCAGATCCATTACAGACAGCTGTAGTGGTGGGTGCTGGGAATTGAACTCAGGACCTCTGGAAGAACAGCCAGCGCTCTAAACCCCTGAGCCATGTCTCCAGCCCCAGCTCTCAACATTCTTATCCTCCAAGCTCCAACAAGAACAGCATGGTAAGTTCTCAATACTCAACGACTTTTCTAACCCAAAGTTCCAAAGTCCTTCCACAATCCTCCCAAACAACTCGCTCAGGTCTGTCATAGCACTACCTCACTATCCTGGTACCAGCTTGTCTTAGAGTTTCAACTGCTACAGTGAAACACCATGACCAAAATGCAAGTTGGGGAGAAAAGGGATTATTTGGCTTCCACCTCCACACCGTAGTCCATCACTGAAGGAAGTCAGGATAGGAACTCAAACTAGACAGGAACCTGAAGGCAAGAGCTGATGCAGAGGCCACAGAGGGGTGCTGCTTACTGGCTTACTCCCCATGGCTTGCTCAGCCTGCTTCTTTATAGAACCCAGGACCACCAGCCCAGGGATAGCATCACCCACAATGGGCTGGGCCTGCCCCATCAATCACTAATTAAGAAAATGCCCTACAGCTGGATCTTCTAGAGGCATTTTTCTCAATTAAGGTTCTCTCTTTTCAGATGACTCTGGCTTGTGTCGGCCTGACATAAAACTAGCCAGGGCACACAGAAACTGCAGTATGCTTAGAACCTCAGCACTGAAGAACAAGGAAAGAGATTCCTGTGGCTCTCTGGCCAGCTAGTCTGGCTGAATTGGTGAGCTCCAGGCTCAGTGAGAGGCCCTGTCAAAGAAAAAGGTGGAGGGCAATTGAGCAAGACACCTCTGGCCTCTGCACACACCATCTGCACAAAAATTAAGAACATAACAAACTAGTCTCAAAAAATATATACTTATATTTTCAAATATGCTATGTGCATAAATAATATAGAAATTTAATTGCTAAAATTTTAAATTGCCAAGCACCAAATTATGATTTTTACATTAAGATGCCAGTATTTCTGGCACACGTGAAGTTGTTCGTTTGAACTGTGTATCTAATGCTGACGATAAGTAATCTGGATGTCCCTATATCTATAGTTCTCCTCACATTCCAAAGCTATCAGGAAACATGAGCTTTCTTAGCAAAACAAATATAACACAGACAGAATGATTTTAACAATAAGATGTTACACAATGTCCTCGCAAGAACTAAGGACCTCCATTTTCGATGGAATTCCTAAAAACCTTTGAGGAAACGTTTCTAAGCCATTTGAATTTTAAGAACCATGGATTGTGGGCTGGGGATACAGCTCAGTGGAAGCCTAGCATGGAGTCCTTGGGTTGATCCCCCATATGTGATAAAAACAACAGCAACAACAATAACAACAACAAAAACCTGACTGTGCTGCACTATTCTGCTCCAAACCAAGACTGTGTTCCCTGCCCAAGCACCAGCAACCAAGGACAAAGACGGGGTGCACACAGGGCCACAGCATGTTCAGATTCTCCTTCAGAGCACTTGCGAACCTGGCACAGTGTGGCGCTCCATTATCTACAGTGCTTTCTTGCTCCCCTATTTTCCCATCAAAATAGTTTTAAGAAACCGAGGCTCCAATTCTGAGGGACCAGAAGGGACTCTTGTCAAAGGTTTAACCCTCATCACACTCGAGTCAAAAACTATCAATTTAGGTCAATGGTTCACAGCTTTCATCCCAGCACTCAGGAGGCAGGGGCAGGTAGATCTCTGAAATTTTGAAGCCATCCTGATCTACACAATGAGTGCCAGCCATCTGGTTTACAATAGGGAGTTCCGGGTCAGCAGTTGGTGATACACTGTCTTTAAGGCGTTTTAAGTTCTTGCACTTGAGTGAAGAAAATCACTTAAGGATCTAAAAGCTTGATTTAAAGAGGACTGTGAACAGTGCAAGCAACATGTCCTTGATACTATCATTTAACCAGAAACGCCACTTTCTTCTCTGGGCCTATTTTCCTATCTGCGAAATAAAGCAGTTGGTTGGATTTGGTCAGGCCCCCAGAAACAGAGCTCAAAGCAGCTTTTCTGTGATCAATTTGGAGCTTCAGTGGGAGGTGGGTGAAGGGGAGCAGGCTCCCCATCCTGTATCTCCCCGTTTCCCCGAGGAAACTTAAGTTTGCTCGTGTTGGAAGCATTAATTGTGTCCATTTTTTTCAGATGACAAAACTGAGAGCCAGGAGGATTAAGCAATATACACCAAGGGTCACGCACGGCGCAGGGCACTAGAGAGAGCAGGTTCCCTGCAGGACGCCTGCTCCAGCCTTGGCCTGGAGGGTTCGGGCCCAGCTCTCACCAGCCCCAGGAAGGCGGCACACAGCACCACGGTGGTGAACCAGCGCAGCACGCTCTGGGCACGGCCTTTCCGCACCGAGGCCACGGCTTCCGACTCATTCTCTGCGCCCGGGCCGGCTGGGAGGAGCCGCTGCCCTCCGGGCCCGCCGAACTCCAGCTCCAACTCCAGCGTGGCGGCTCCACCTGCCGCGCTCCGTGCGCCCGGCACGTCCCGGAATCTCCCCGGGCGCCAACTCCGCCGGGACGAGCCGGCGCGAGCGTGACCCGGGAGCGAAGCCTTCCACCGCGCAGGCGCGGGGCCTCCCGGGGACGGAGCGCCTGCACGGATCACGTTCCGGAAATAAGGCCGCTCCCCAATCAGGAGGCTTCTTCAAACCGGAAGTTGATATGGTTGCCTTGGGAATCGGACTTCCGGGCCCAGGTGAGGCGTCTCTGTTAGTTCAGCCGGGGCGTTTTGCGGCCCGGGGGCTGAGGGCAATGATGTAGGGCTGCAACCCTCGCACAAGACGAGCCAAACGGTAAGAAGTTGCAAAACGTTGGAAGAAAACCGGCCTAGAACTGCAAGGTGGCAACTTCCGCAGGCTCCTGGGTCACCTGGAAACCCGAAGGTCTTGTCCCTACATGATTTCCAAACCCTTCGCCCTTGCTCCTAAGACGTACTAGAATCTTGGACGTCGGCTTCTCACTCCACAGATAGTTGTGGAGCCTTATTTGTAAACTCACACGTGAAATATCTCAGTTAATTTACACAGCACTCAGAATCCCACCGCCTTCCCATCTGTAAGTAGGAATATTAGGTTAGAGGAACGACTTCCCAAAGGCAAGACAGCAAACTGATGCTGTCCTTTCCTGAATAGTGAAACCATAGCTAAAGAAAGAAATCTGGGTCAGAACGAGTTGCAAGCACTTGCCCACACTTATTTTAACCTGCAGGCAGTTCCGTTGTTGAATGGACCTGAACATCCGTTTGTGTTTGCCAAATGGCTATGCTAGCTGAAAAAGGAAGCCCGTGTTCTTATGTGACTGCAGATTTGACCACAGGACCATAGCCTCAAATGTCACTACATTCTATTCTGAAGTGCTTTTCCACTTACATTTCTGTCTCTGATACCCACTCCTACTTAGTCTCCCGAGCTACTACAAAACTTGGTCTTGTTACCTGTAAACCATCTTTCCACCGTCAGTCATATGACAGTTAACTTCTCCCTGTTTGTCTCAGAAATGTTTCTTAAATTGACTTTCAATTCCTCTCCATTCCTGCTATGCTTGTCTTCATTTCTTGCTTAGACTATTTCAGAAGTTTTCTGATTGGTCTCAAAGTGTGTGCTTTGAAATTTTCAGTGGGACCTAAAGAACACAAAAATTTTAAGGGCATTTTAAAGTAAGAATCACTCTGCCTGCTACAATACCAACTAGTCAAGATGCCCCCTGGGAGTATGGTGGTGTAACTGTCGTGGAGGTAAGTAACCACTTTCTGCTTGGATTTGAGACCTACTCCACAGGAGGGAACTCTGTCTTAGTACTATAAATCTGTTCAAAGCCCGTGGCTGGGGAGATCATAGGACCCAGGACGGAACCTACTTCTGATTTGCTTAATGCGTGTATTTTAAACTGCCTTCTAAAGACTTATATATACACCCCTACACACGTGTTACTCTTGGCCTTTGTTTTTGCAGTGGGAAGAAGTCAGTGCAGAAACCTCATGACTGGTCAAAGTGCTGAGAATTAGTCTGTTGAGTACTCGGTTCTAAATGGGACATAGTGATGCCCTCCCTCCCAGGCCGAGTACCAGGAAACAAGGAAGTGAGGTTTCTGTGTCCCACAAAGTGGCTTATGTATTTATGTTTGGGATAGACAGGACATCATGAGTATATTCTGTAAGCTGTTGTTGGGGAGGCCTTCCAAAACTATAGTTTACCCTAAGAGATTATGTACATGTTCTAGAAGAGGCAATTGGGCACTTACGGGTATTTTAGGCTTCCTATTTGAACCCACCCAAAACTTACACTGGGGATTGAGATTCCAGTCCTTCAGTTGCCAGTTGTCATTTGGCTGTGGCACCTCTGTTAGCCTGAAGGTGAGGTTAGGAACAGAAGAGGCATCATAAACAAGACAGACTCTGTCAACACATGCAGTTCCACCAACCATACAGTTGTCTTTGTTGCTACTTCATAACTTTTGCTTTCTATGTTTTCTGAACCAAATATAAATATCTGGTAGTGAGGATATCTGATATGTGGCCTCCTAAGGGGTTGTGACCCACAGGTTGAAAGCCACTGTTTTAGAGTGTCTTGGGATTTGTCATTGTTGTTATTGTTTGAGCAAGGTTTCTCTGTGTAGCCCTGGCTGTCCTGGAACTCACTCTGTAGACCAGGTTGGCCTCAAACTCAGAGATTCGACTGCCTCTGCCTCCCAAATGCTAGGATTAAAGGTGCACACCACCACCACCATCACCATCACCACCACCACCTCCACTGCCACTGCCAGTCAAGTGTCTTGGGATTTTAATGGTGGTTAATTGGGCAAATAGACAACATCTAGTAATTCCACACCAAATGTATAGCAACCATGTGTGAATGTTAGCTGTTTAGTTTCCTGCCAAGTGCACACTCTGGCTAAAAGTTCTGGTTCATCCCTCGTTCTCTTTTTTGTGAGAAGATTTAGTGTGAGGCAAATGAGCACTCTCAGTTATGTCTAGAGTAGAGATAACTGCATATCCTGTCTGAAAATGCCCTGCTCTGCTCATAAATACAAATATCAATAAATAAAACCAAGTGGACTGCCATTTCTCCTATGTGTAGGAAACAAAACCTGTCCATCTGATGCAAGAAGGATGTCAAAAGAGGCACTGCAAGGCCTGTCACTGGAAAGCAGGCTGTACTTAGAGGAGCTCTAGATAACGGAGTGGGTTTAGGTACCACTGCATTGCGCAGGATGGCTAGCCACTTACGGCCTGGAGATTTTGCACACGTCTCTCTCCTCTTTCATTTGCTTCCTTGTAGGGGATGTTGGGTGGTGTGCCAGCGGGTACAAGGGATAGAAAGCCCGTTTTCCTGATCGTCTTCTACGATGGGTTTGAGTCCATTGGAACTTGCTGGCTTCAAAGGGTATTTATTTTTTATATTAGGCAAGGGTTTGCTTTTATTTATTGTTACCTCAACTGGAGCAGTTAATCTTATTTATTCTACATCTGGTGTTTGTTTGTTTGTTTGTTTGTTTTACACAAATCCTCCTGGACTTTGTGAAAGGAGACTGTTGGTTTTCTTCCATGAGGTCTTGTTTGATCCCTTCACAAGTGACATGGAGAAATGTTGGGACAGGGGCTTTTCAGTGTTCCTGAATTAAGAAAGATACTACCCCCTTTGGGAGACAAATATGTGAGCATTATGTTTCCAGAGAGTCACATCTCAACAAATGGACAGGGGCACAATTTACCAGTAGAAAGATGCCACGCCATAGTTCCTTCCTATTTAAATGTTACAGATGTGGTCGTTTGAGTGAAAATGGCTCCCGTGGACCCCCAGGGAGCGGCACTGTTGAAGGGACCAGAATGTGTGGACCAGTTAGAGTAGTTATGACTCTGTTGGAGGAAGTGTGTCACTAGGGGTGTCCTATGAAGTGTCAGATGCTGAAGTCAGGCCCCTCAGGCCCCTTGTCTGTCTCTCTCTCTCTCTCTCTCTCTCTCTCTCTCTCTCTCTCTCCTGCCTGCTGATCTGGATGTAGGACTCTGAGCTCCTGTGCCTTGCCATGAGGATAACGGGCTAATCTCTGAAGTGTAAGCCAGCCCGGATTGCATACTCTCCTTTATAAGGGTTGCTGTGCTCCTCCTTCCTAGCAATAGAACAGTGACTAAGACAATAGGGTTTGCTTTAGAGCCAGTGTGGATAAATTAGTAACTCCCACCATTTGCATTTTATTTTCATTCTGAGGGAGATTTTAAGCCTAGTGTGAGTTAAAACAGTAGCCCCAGGCTGTGTTTCCTGTTGGTTAATAATCAGCTCCACTTCTCCTACCATGGTAGCAGTGAAAACCTCCCTTATTTTCCAGAGCAGCCCTGTTCTAGTCTGTGTTTTCTTTCAAGTTCTCTCAGGCCTGCTACTTCTGTGAGAGAATTCCTATTTCAGTTTCTTGGAGTCTTCTTGAAATGGCCAGAATAGTTACAAATGTCTTTGTCGTTTTGAAGGTGGAATGAATTATGTCTCCTTTTTTTGTGAGCTTAACTGTTCTTGTAAGCTCATAATTTGAATACTAGTGTCTTTTTTCTTTTTTAATAATAGTTCTAGAAATTGTTAAGGTACCAGGCTGTCTGTGGGAAGGGAAACCCATATCTTCTAGTTTTCAGTAATGTAGAATTTACTAAGACATCACTTCCTTGACCTCAAAGTTACAGGAGTTCCCTAGTTGCTACATATGTGACATAGAAGTCAAGTCTGGTCCTCCGGCCTGACCTTACACTGCATTATAGAAGTCAGGTCTGGTCCTCCGGCCTGACCTTACACTGCAGTATCTTGGCCCAGTCATCGATCCCTGGAATGACTTGAGCACCACAGCAGAGGTCAGGACCATTTCGAGTCAGTGATTTATTTGATCAAAGTCCTGAAGGAAAAGCGAGTGGAAGCTTCTCCTCTTTCTGTCACCTTCTTCCCTCCGTGCCTCCCTCCTTTCCTTTCATGGCAACCCGAGGGCCAATCCCTTTGCTCCATGTGAGAAGCTGTCTTCCATGTGAGCATCCTGCCATGCTGATCTACTTGTCCAGGCCAAGCAGCTCTGGACTGAATCCTCTGAGCTCAGAACCAAAATAAACCTTTCTTTCTATGAGTCTTTGGATATTTTGTAAAAGAGACAGAGGTGGCTAGCCCTAGAAAGTGCCTTTGAGAGACACTTGATGTGTTAAAAAAAACAAAGCCATGAGAGAGAAGAGAAGATGACTGGGAAAGATGCCGTACCAAGACACTTGGATTTGGCCAGTGCACATCTCCTAGCCAAACAAGATGAACAAAATAGAGACCATTTCCCGGCGTATCAGCTTAACACATTATCTCTTTGTTTGGTTCAGTTTTGAGTCAGAGTCAAGGATGAC